CAAAATTGAGATGGACCTCCTTGGTGCAGTTGAGGCCAAGTCGGATTCATGGCATCCACGAGACAACCCATGTAGCTTGCCTGTGATTAGTACCATTGCGTCTCTTGTTGTTGTTATTGTGCTTTGCCAAAGGTTAAATTGAACATTTTGTTCTCCAAGTCTAGCATTCCCTTTCACCTTTTCTTTGTGGCCTCTCCAGGTATCTTGGAGATACTCAATGAACTGAACCCAAAGTTGAGCGGGGCGCCTACTAAGACCTCAGAGTCAGAACTTGAGACCGCCAAGGCAGCCCTTGATTCTGCCCAGCTTGCAATAGTCTTTGAGGAAATCGAGTATGATGAAAAGTGCTTGGATGTCTATTTCCAAAAGGCGTCCAGCTATGAGGTTCGAGTGCGAAACCGTTATGAGGAATGGCAAGCAAAAAGGACAGAGCGGGCAAAGTTAGCTGTCTCACAATACTGGGAGCAGAAAGTTTCATGGCTAATCCATATTTAGCTGCCTATTTTATGCATGGTGTTTTTGTAGTTCGTTAGTGGCACTAGTCCTTCTTAAGCAGCTCATACCCTTGGTTTCAGGTCAGTGGGCACGTTTGGCCTGAAAGGTTTGATGGTGCCACCGGGAGCACCATGCAGGTTGATATTGTGGAGTCTAGCAAGAAGTGGCTGCATGGGTTGCAATTGCGGACCCCAGTTTTTTGGCATGGAGATGGTTTTTCTTCATGATATTTTGTGTTAGCTCTGACCTCTTTGTTTTTGCCATAGGTGGACCTGATACACCCAGTGTTTTGTAGGTTCACCTCTTCCTGGCCAATTTTGCATCACCTTCGCTTGTGCCGTCCAGTATCACTCAGTGTGTTCTCAAGCTAATGGGCCACTTCATCACACAGTTCCCAGAGACCAGCATGTTGGTGATCATTTTGCCAACCTTTGCATACAAAAGTGGCATGCTGTATAATGAGGAATTTGCTTTATTGAAGGTCCTGGCAAATGCTGGTTGCCACGTTGATGGTGTCTTCACACTCCTGTTTGATCCAAAGAGCAAGACAGAGATTCATTGCAATTAGAATATTTTGATTACTACAGGAGTTTCTGGCGAACCCTTTTCATGTTTAAGAGGTTGTTCCATTATTTTTGAATTTGGGTGTCTGGCTGAGAATATTCAGGACATGCGAGATCAAAGGCCTCTTGGATATTCAGGAAGAGTTGTTGGCCCACTTCCTAGCTCTTTGGAAGAGAATCAGGAGTGGCTTTGGAAGACTTCGAGCTTGGTCCAATTGCGGAGAACCATTGGCGAGGCAAAGCAGCTGAAATCGAATGCCATGATTGCGCAAGAGCAAATTGGTCCCAGTGTCCTACCACCTTCGGATTCAGGAAAGTCCTCAACTATTCATGGTGCGCAAAAGTATGCTCAGCTGGGCTGTGATGCTGCAGAGCAGATCTTGCACAGCGCAGTGGTGCTTCAGATTGGAGTTTATTATTGTTTTTTGTATGTTTTTGTATTTGTTCAGAATAGCAATTTGGAGGTTGAGATATTATTGAGATATTATTTTCCAACTCTTTTGGTGATTGAATGCTTTCTAGGAAGGAGTCAACTTGACAAACAATATGGGCTTGGTCATTGTTGATGTGGTGCCCAATGTGGGGACTTTCTTTGAAGGCTTCCAGCAATTTACTCAGAAGTGCAACACCCCAAGCTTCTATATGCCCCTCTTCAAAGACATGGAGCACCGTGAGTGGTTTGAAGCATATTGGTCAGAGGACATGGCTGCCAGCTTCGTGAAGGGACAGATCAGTGTTTCTGGCGTGGAGAGGTAGGGGTCATATTAAAATGACAAAAACGTCTAGAAAGTTGAGTGTGAACTCTGATATGCAAATTGTCTGATAACCCTGCCAGATTGGCAGATGATCCACCAGCGGAGCATTTGGAATCACCACCAGACCCTCCTGCTTTGAAACGATGCGTCTATGGGAAGGCCATGTGTTTCTGGGGGTTATGTTTTCCAAACATTTGGAATGCCAACAAGCAAGTGCTTTGGATCCCTCAAAACAACCATATGGGGCATTCCATATCTAGTTCAGGTTGAAGCAAATTTGCTACTTACTTATTTGGATCTGATGTGATATGATGTGATAGGTGGAGCAGGAGATTGTGACGATTGAAATTCCTGATATGCTGGTGAAGCTTCATGGAGAGAATGAGGCCTTCAAGGTGTTTCACAAAGCTTTCCTTGCAAGGCATCCCTTGGCAAAGGCGTTTCCTAAGCCACCTTCCAAATCAGGGCCTGGACCAAAGGCCAAGTCTACGCCCAAGCCAACCAAGCGGCCTTTGAATGACTTTACACCAACATTGGTACCTCTTGATGGAGTGGAGCATTCTCAGATTCTGTGTGAAGTGCCTATCATCAATGCAAGGTGCTCTTCCAAGCTTAGCACAATGCCAATGTTGGTCATTGATGCCAAAACGGGCCCTTGTGTGAAGAATGAGACTGGCCATGAGGTGTTGGGTTAAATGTTGTGTTGCTATATGTTCATTTCAAATTGTGTTTGGAAGCCACAGCACCCAAATGCAGTTGTAAGTATGATGGCCATTGTTTGCGCTTGGAGGTCACACTTCCCTTTGGATCAATCCTTGCTGGGTTTGGCAAGGCGAAGTTCAGGGAACTCACAGCCGATGCCGGTTTGCAGGACAAGGAAATTTTGTTTGAGGTCACTGGTTCTACCTATGGGATCCTTGGCTCAAAGGTGGCGCTATTCAGTGAGCATTTGGCTGATGCAAAGGGAACGTCCAAGAATGTGCGGCCATGCTACCATAAAGCAGTGGAGGGCCCTGAGCAATGGACTTTTGAGAAGGACATGTTGAACACTAAAACATGTTTCAATCTGTACTATACAATTATACCCCATTTAAGTAAATTCAATTGTTTCTTAGTTTTTTGACTGGGTGGGTTGAACACTGGAGGAGTCTGATGTGATCTTTTCAGTGCAGGAGGAGGACCTGACAGATAGCAAACCAACCCAGGTGCAAGCGGCCAAGGTCTTGGTTCCTCCTACTTCCTGGAATTCCAAGTCCAGCGCCATTGCATGGCAGGTGAAATGGAGCTTGAATGGGCTCCAGCCCCAACGTGCAGTGATCATCATGACCCAGGATGTTACAATCCCTAATGGTCAGATTTTTGTGTTCTGAACCCTACTGTGCGAGCACTGACAAAAAGAAATGAAAACAAATCGACTATCTGTAGTCATTGAACAATGCAATGTTTCCCAGCTGTTGTGAGCACAGGGGGGTTGCAACTCTGCTGAGCCTTGCGGCCTTGTGAAAAATCTATGGTACTATGGGACAGGAGCTGATCCCAAGGGTTTGAATCAACCAATTTGGGTTTGCAAGTGCCCAGTCCTGCCCAGTTTGGGTTTACCTTTATGCCCCATCTTGCTTTGCCAAGCCTGGCCACCCAAACGTTCCATGTGCCAGGTCTCGAGGTCCAATCGAAGCTTGCAACAGGAGATAGCCTTGGTGTGAGATCGGGTGGCTGTGGGTGCTGGGGTTGGGTGGGTCCTGTCTTGGGACCTGATATTTATATATCTAGTTAGTTGCACTAAGAATCTGAATCCAAAGTGGGACCATAAATTTCAACACCTAAGTGTTGATCCCTAATTGCTCCGGACATGCAAGAACACACCAAAAAAACAATTCCAATGATAATGAACTGATAGGAATTGTTTTTTTAGCTAAGGATGGAATTTTAGAGAAGCAGTCCTTAGTGGAGCCACCGGTTGCCCAAATTGGGCAGGTTTGGGGTGAAAGTGTGAGATTATCTAGGAGAAGACCCTCACCAAGTCATGCCAACATGAGAATTAATCGAA